CATCCCCCTTATAGAATGAGTTTTGAAAAATGCTAAAAGACACATTTATTTAATTTTATTGAAGAGCATTAATACCAAGTTTCAAGTAATTCTGATAATTTTATTTTTTTTGGATTGTATTATCACGTTTTTTCCTATTTGAATGAAATAATCTCCCGCAGCAAAAAGTAGCCTATGTCATTCTTCAGCCTTCCAACTACCTCCACACAAAAAATCACGCCAATCCGTCATTCCGTTCCATAAAAGAAGGACAAACTAACAAACACACTTTCACATTTATACGATTATTATGGATAAGGATGTTATAAAGACAAAGACTTTGCTTTTAATAACTTATATCTTATAATATTAAAGGAGTAATTCTTATATGTACATATATTTTATTTCGTATATCTCGGAAAGAACTCTAACTATATGGAAGTATTTAGATAAGTTTTTGCTTTTTAAGTTTATCTATATAGGTGTACTATATAGGTGTACGTGTCTTTTCTAAAATAACGCAAAAAAAACCTTTCGCAAAAAAAACGCCAAAAGCTCGTCACCAAGGTACTTTTTATCTATAAATATATTTTTAGAAAATATTTTTTTTGTATAAAAAAACAATAATGTATTTAAATATGAAAGCTGGGCATTAACTTTAGTTATAATAGGTTGATTCCCCATACAAACTTTCATCCCCGTATTCACCCCCTTAATGGATGATTTCCGGGATAAAATGTATCCAATGTCCCAGGCTCTCAGACTATCTTTTCATCAAATGTCAACTAATCCGGTTTAGTAGATTTAGATATTACCCTCTACAACCTCATAAACGCACAAACTTTACCTCTTTTTAATATTAGTTTAAATGTATTTATTAGATCTCTGACGCTTTTCCTTTCTAACTTTATATTAGAACTAGCAACTCGCAGTCGCTTCGCTTGGGTTCGTCCCTAGCATGTTTCCCAATACAAACTTTCATTCCCATAAGGGATGATTTCCGGCATAAAAAGTATCATATATCCTTCCCAGGGTCTCAAAACATCTTCCTACCAAATTTGATCTAAATCGGTTCAGTAGATCCAGAGATTACCGCCTACAACATCACAAACTCACAAACTTTACCTCTTTATAATATTAGTATAGATTGAGTAGGATTACGACAGTAATCAGTAAATTCCTCTAGCTCCATTCAAATGATTTCAAATCCTTACCTCCAAAAAAAAATACAGATTTTTGAGATCCATTGTTAATGATTCAATGCAATCCAAATAGGGCTTTCCCTCAGATATCCATACTCTTATTTGTTTTCACTAATCGTCTACTCATTCAGAAGGTACTAATGTATTAATTGCTAGTTTGCTTTATGTAATAAGATCTTCCAATTACAATGTTGACCACACCTTCTATCGAAAGGCTTCCGGATGAATACTTTAATTTTGGATTAACAATTATGTAAAATAAACCTCATTCTATATGTATACTAATATTAAGAGACCGAGTTTGTTTGTTTGAACGCGCTAATCTCGGGGACTACTAATCCGATTTAAAAAAATCTTTTTGCATTAGATAGCCTGTTTATTGAGTAAGGCTAAAAAAGGTTTAGTAAGTAAGGATATAGGCTATATATTAAAGAATATGCAGTGCCGGATTAAGCCTTACCGCCGCCAATGGGCACTGTAAAAAATTTCGCCCCATTATCGAAATTTTGAATAAAATTTTGAAAGTTTAAATTTTTAATTATTTATTTTTCGAAAAATGTAAAAGAAAAATAATTTATAAATAATATCAATTATTCGAAAAATTTACCTACTAGTTAATTTTTTTTTATTATTTATGTATTAGATGTTGTTGAACATTAAATATAAGATTACTATATTATAAATAATTACAATTTAAACACCTAAACGTAAACCCTTAAACGTTAAATAAAAAATACATTTTTACTCTACATAAAGAGTATAATAGTGCGTTAATGTTTTGCATGAATTACTTATACAGTGGCAAGTGGTGAGGTATAGAAATATTTCTTTCTGCATTTGCGACTACTTAACTAACCTTGAAATTTAAAACTATGAAAGAAAATTATTTTTGACGTACGCTATGTAGCGTATGTTCCTATGTATATTAAATATAAAACACAAGCGACTCACCCTCGCTGCGCTCGGGTTCGTCCATAGCTTACTTCCCAATACAAATTTGCATCCCCTTTTTCACCCCTTTAAGGGGTGATTTCCGGGATAAAAAGTATCCTATATCCTTCCCAGGCTCTCAAACTATTCAGGTATATTTATTATAGTATAGATTTATTATAGTATAGATTTATTATAGTATATATACAATCACTGTTATGACAAATTTTTAGAAATAACTTAGTTAATAAGTCTGGTTTATTGCTGAACGGTACCTACTGTGCATCAGGGTTTTTTTCGTGATATATGTAATTAATATCGTCACTCTTTATTTTATGACGGTTTAATTCTATTATAATAAATCTGTGCAATTAGAAAGTGACTGTAAGGGAGTTCGCCTCAAACTACAGTAGTTTAATTGAACTATTTATCGGGAAAGGGGTAACCTTTACATGGTCTTTTATGGGTAATGTTTATTTTAAATTATTTCATTATTTCACAGGTGGCAGCCGTAGAGATTTTTATTTTACTTATTTATTTTAATGTTAGCAAAGCGTTTTTTTAACCCCCCAGACTTGACATTGTTTTAAATATATGAATAGAACTTCTAGCTATTCTTATTATACTAGCATTATAGAGTGTATGTGAGGATTAGAGGTTCAATGCTCGTGCGAGGGGAACATGAATCAAACCTTATGAAGAATTGTGTTGGGAAACTTATTATCATGATCAAGGCTAAGAGCGAAAAATGAATGTGCGTTGTTAACCGCTGTCTACCTCACAAGGGGACATAGCTGGACTGGACTAAACCCTACTTTTAAGACTTCCTATAGATATAAGAATGTGATAATGATTTCATTATTATAAATAAATTTCGCTTCTTCGTCCCTACGTATCTTTTGCCATACATTTTGCTGCTTTATTTCAAACCGTTTAGGCGTTTCGAAAAAGTAATTCAACAAACAGTTTTATCGACTTGGGTTTTCCGGCGATAAACACATTTTTATCGGCGGTAATATAGATTGCAACAGCACTCGGCAGTAATGTAATCCTATCAGTGAAAACGTTTTCCCAATCGGACCAGTAGTTTCAGAGATTATCATCTACATACAAACATACAAACATTACCTAGCTCTTTACAATATAATGTAAATTCATTATTAGAATTTATTTGTACACATATCGTACAACGGAATTGAAAAAAGAGACCACTTTCTCTTTGAAGTCGGTCAAAAAACCAACCATATGTAACCAAGTAAAAAGTTACAGCTTTATATATACCAAAGCTACTTTAATAATAGGTCTTCTGTAATGAACTCCGAGAGTACTTTAATTGGGCTGTTTCTACTACATAATTTTAATTCTATGAATGAAGTGATTTTGAAGTCAGTGTACCTTTTTATTTAAGAAGTTATTGTTTTATTTCTATATTATTATGATTATAATATAATATTTTTGGTATATTTTGCTTCTCTATATGTGATTGTACAAAGTTTTTATCCGACTGCGCCAGAAGGAAGGTTATGTTTTTCATATATCTATCTGCCAGTGAAAGTTACATTAAAACTAATCCTTCCTTTTCGGAAATTACTCGGAACAAACAGACAGACAGACGAAAATTTTAAAAATTGTGTTTTTCTTATAAGTACCGTATATTCGTATGCATTTAAGTAAAATCCTGTTATTTTTAACAAGCAGACACTTCCATTTTATTTATCTGTATTATAGATTTGCTAATTGATTTTAAATTCATCGTTATCAGCTGAAAAACGTCCACATATTAAGTTCCTTCTATTTCAATACTTTTTTTATCCTCTGTTTGTCAATCGATTTCTTTTTTTTATTTAGCAGATAGATATTGAAGAACTTTAGTGTTTTCAATAAAAAAAATTGGAAAAAGTTTCTTTTATATAGATAGGTAAATTCTATTTATATATTTTCCTCAAATTTTCAATAACGATTATGGTCGGATTTCAACAGCTATATAAACAATTGTTATTGTAATTCATAAAAAATGTACTAAGTATTGTAGAATAATATAATTAAAACACAAATAGGTATGACGTAAACTTTATTTCGTAATAATATATACATGCAAGTATAATAGAATTTGTTCAAGGCGTAACAATGTTAAATATTAAAATAAACAATTATAAATTATAATAATATTACATAATAATTGTATTCTGACTAGAATCAAGTTGAAAGTAAACGAGATCGGAAGCGATGGCAGTGCTTTGTTTTCGCCTCGAAAAAACTTAACACACAATTGATAAAATTACAATTAAATTGGAATATATGAAATGTATTATATATAATAATAATTAATTTAAACCCATAAATTATCCAATTAATTGATTATATCTAGATATGACTACAAGATATGCTATAAAGAAATTTGATAGTGAAAAGGATATAGCATACATTCTAAGAATGGAAACTTTCTAAACTTTGAGCCTTAATACGGAATTAGAATTGAAATCGATCGATTCTATTAAGAATACTATTCTGAACACACACGCAAAATTAGATTATGATATTTAAAAGGGGCCTATCACACTTGTTCGTGGCTTGTTTCCGTCAAAATGAGAAATATAGCAAAGAAAACACAAGTATTGAAGATATTTTACATAAAATTTGTAAAGACAATAATACCGGTATTCGGTAAAACTTACGTTATTGGAATACGACATTGACTTGATTTAAAATATTTTGTCAATACTGTATTTTTCATTAAGACGACAAAACTGCTCAGTAAAATGTGAGCGTATTGCGATTATCGCAATTCGCAGCGATTTCGTGTGGGCCCTAAGCCAAAACGGTTGTAATGACTAAAGGGAATGTTTTCAACCCAAAGTTTGTGGGCTAAATTGTAAATTTGAATGTTTAGAAGGTAGTTCTTCCAAATATGAAGTTTCCGGGCGCGTTCGGGTCTTCAGTGGAGAAGTACTCTTTCCACAGCTCCTGGAACTCTTCCCATGAGACATTCGCCTTTCCCTGTTTAAAATAAAAGGTTGAATTGAAGTTAATTATGGCAGAGAATCTAACGAAGTATTTACTTTGACTTTATAAATTTAATTTTAACTTTAAGGAGGAGGAGGTGCTCAATTCGGACGTTTTTTTTATGTACATTACGGAAATTGTTCATTTTTTTTTATGAATAATAAAAAATATATATAATGAAAAATATGTTCTGTTTCGGTCTACTCTATTTTAGTAAAGTAGCAATTGAAATAATTATAAAAACCTTTATACCGAATAAGATATACATGTCGGTGATAAAAAGTATTTAATTGAATTTTTAGCATTTCCTTCCGTGCTTTAAGAGTAAGTCAATTGACAGTCTTATTATCAAGTAACTCCCACTACGACATTCGACTATAAAGACAAAGGACAAACCATTTCGTTGGGTCAGAAGCTGTTCGACTGCGAACACGGCACTTTCCTATAAGTGCTCTGACTTAACCGAGTTACCGAACAGGTAATCTCTGTATTACTTATATAATTATAATAATGATTATGATAATTATTATATAATCGTTGTACTATAGTTATAATACTATATAAATTATTACATTATAATTGTTGTGATTATTGAATTCTTAACATATTGATTAAAATTTTTAGATATCAGTTAGATGTTTAGTTTTAAATGTAATATTAGACTAATAATTAATTATTTAAAGGTATTTTCAGTAACTATAAGTAACTTTTGCTTTACCCATGAATTATTTTACAATTATTATTGTTATCTACCAATATGGTTATATCTTTGTTTATTAAATAATCAGTTAATTAATATTTCTATAAATAAATGTGTACTTTAAAAATAGCTGTCTGTTCTTTTTTTTTATCCATCTCTCACATACATTTTTTACTTACATAGGAAAAAATATATGACAATCAATGAATATATTAATACGTAATATTTTATGAAAGACATACACATAAAATAAAACTTAGTATGATATATGTAATTTGTACGCAGGTTTCATGTATATGAGTCTATTTGCATAATCTTTGTAATAAATTCAACCAAAAAATACCACTATTCTAGAGCTCACCTTGGCCATCTTGCTGAAAGCCATCTTGCACTCCTGAGGGTCAATGCCATAGGAGGAGCAGACTGTAGTGAACTCATCACAGTCAATGGTGCCGTCAGCACTAGCGTCTTCCAGCTGGAACATGAACTGGCAGTAAAGTTGCTGCCACTTCAAAGCCGCTGATGGATTCTGAGCATAGTCATTCCACATGGACACCCATTCTTCTACGGATACCTGTTTGAGAGAAATTTGTGTGATAATATTTTGTAACGAATAAGTAAATAATTACTTTTACACTAGTTAATAGTTTAAAAGGTTTCGGAATCATTTTAAAACTAATTAAACGATCATTAGAGGTTGTTTGTTGAATATTATTTCTTGTTTGAGTAAAACCATTGAGCTGTCCCATGTAACAGCATTTAGTGTAAAATATTGATTTATAAAAAACTAAAGTTATGGAGATCGATTCTCAATTTAAGAATATTTTCCCTACTTCACGTAACATACACAAAAAACACCTTCATTCATTCATTGGCAATTTTTCGCATAAATTAAACGAAGAAAACAACTATGGTACGGTATCTCTGCGTTATACTGTTACTTTATTCAAATTTCCATTAAAATTCTTATTCCGGTCTATACAAAGAACAAAATAACCAGATCTACTTTATCTGCTATCGATACTGAATCATGGTACGTGTATCTAAACTAATAAACATACCCTATGAAACACTGTAAAATAAAGGGGCATTCATAAAAATGCTAATACTGCCCCAAAACGATCGCATTAAAACGTCAGCTTTAAAAAGGTTGGACCGCCATGACACATGTACATATGTGTTCGTATATGGGGCAAGGTTGGGTGTGGGGAATGAACAAGGGCTCTATTGATCCATATTAATTCATGGTAAAATAAAGCCGTAAATTTTGTTTCTTTTGATCGTTTTATAGGAAAAATTTATGGGCTCCTTTGGTGCTTAGTTCTGATACAGTTTTAAAGTTTTTATGTGGTTTTTGAAATAGGTAATCTTAAGCTTGTTGCAACAATAACAAAAAAACATTAAATTTAATTATTTATAGAAATTGTTATATATACTTATTTTAATATTTGAACAAGAAAGTAAAAGTAAAAGTCGAAACAGACTATCACTAATGCTTATCTCGCACCATTTGCCTTTGTATAATAATATTCATCAGGATTATTTGGCCTCGTAAAATTCGTGCTGATCTAGATAGCGTTCCAATGTTTATTTTTTCTCCAATTTACACTTGAAATATTCTCAAAGGGGTTGTAACAGTAGAAACAATGAATATAATTACTTATGTATATTTGTACAAAAAAACAAAACTTTAACGTTTAAACAAAAAAGCGGTTCTAACGATTTCGATGAAATTTGCAATATAGGGATTTATGGGGACGAAAAATCGATTTAGTTAGGTCTCATATCTGGGAAAATTTGTTTTCTACGTATTTTTATGCAAAAAGATTTGCGCAGCGCAATATGGCCTGGATAACTTAATGATTAAAGCGTTGGCCTACGCAGAAGGTCAGAAGATTCTGTTTTTGTTCTAATAACATTAAATGAGCAAATCTTGTATATATAAAAATTTATTACGTGTATCTCGGAAACGGCTCTAACGATTCGGATCAAATTTTGTTTTTAGATAAGGTTTTGCTTTTTAAGTTTATCCATATACTTAGGTGTATTTTCTGAAAAAATGCGATTTTATGTTCTGTATATTTATAATGTATATTTATAAAAAAGAATTTATTTTTTTAGATTATTTATTAGAAGGCCTACATTGTTGAATATGTATTATAAATAATAATCAATACTGAATATCATAAATGTGAAAGTGTGTTTGTTTGTTTGTTTGTTTGTTCTTCTTTCACGTCGAAACATCCGGATTTTTTGTTTTTGATTTTTTGTGTGGAAATAGTTGGAGGGTTGCAGAGAGTTTTGTAGTTATAGCGCAAGCGAAGCCGCGGGTTCTGCTAGTAATAAATATGTTAAGATATTAACACACAGCACCATCTAGTGTTAAGGATACCAGATAGTTGATACACTACACATAATATAACTTTACATACCTACATACTATAAATATAAGCACCCATGACTAAAGTAAAAACATTCGTGCTCATCACACAAATGAATTCCCCCAGCGGGACTCGAACCCGCAACCATTGGCACAGCAAATAGGGTCACTACAAACTGAGTCAAACGTGTTTATGTGTAATATGTTATTATAAAAAAAAATAAGGAAGCTAAATTCAATCGAATCGAAATGTATTCCAGATGTACAAACAAACACTGTTCAGTCATATTTTGTGCATGATAGAACACACTCGCTTATTTTCCCCAAACAAATACTCAAACCGATTAAATGAAAGCAATTTGCCTCGCTCACGGCAGTACGACAGATAATAATAAATGGAAATTCGAACACAAACGATAATAGTTGGTATACGAATAATGCGTAAATTATCAAATGATAGGTATCCTGTGATAACATTATATTTTGGTGAATCATTACCGTATGTTTATGTAAAAATTTATAAATTTTCTTTTAATTTTGTGAATATAGCATATAAAACATGTTATTTAGTTTATAATATTACTACATATTTTAAAATAAAGTGCTTCGGCCGCGTACATCTGTCTGTATTAGATAATCTCAAAAACTATCAAACGACTTTGAAACGATTTTCACCAATAGATGAAATGATTCATGAGGAGGGTTTAAGTGTATAATTTATTAAGGTTTTGCGTAAATTGACTGAAATATGACGATAATAATTGAAGATGTTCGAAAAATCACGCCGAATGGGAGCTTTATTAGCGTGCGCCGCGTACACTAATAAAGTTATATGAAAACAATGTACATATTACAGAATTATTCATATTAAAAAAATATTCCTATTAAACTTTAGCAACGTTATGTGCACTAGTAACATAGTTGCCCACCCGAATCAAGTGAGTGTAAGTCACTCGTACTATAATTAATATTTTTTAAGAAGAAAAGTTGTGAGTATTAATCTATACTAATAATAATAAAGATTGAACTTTTTTTATTCTGTTGTATTAGGTGTTGTTTTGTATTAGGTGATCTCTGAACCCACGTTTCAGTTAAAAATATACCTATTATTGCATTCAATAGCCTATTAGTTGTGGAACGTTATAAGCTAACACCATGGTACAACCCTTTGAACGTAGCTTCTAGCTCGTATTATACGAGTATATTCAAGAATAACTTTTTGCTAACTTAGCTTTCCTAAAGCTTTTTCAAAATACACAATCAGATCTAAACAAGCACTACTTATGTATATTCTAAGCATGCTCCATTTAATTCAAATGAAATATATATTATTCAACTCAACTTTACCTCTTTCAAAACTAGTTTCCGTCTAGTTCGCAAAGTAGGTATGGTTAAAATTATGAATTAATTGAGAGATGATGAAGAAAATTTTAAGTTTATATCCATCTGAACTTTTACAGTCATTTAATAAGATATTTTAAAAAGTGTCTTGAAAAGTTTTAGCGTCTTACAAAAAAAAAAAATTTTTCTACTTACAACACAATCACTGGAGCGTTTTTTCTATACCTTTTACTCTCTAACTCCGATGGTACGACAATTCGACTAGACCTGTGAGAGATCAGGCGCAGGGCGGTCTTTACGTGCTCTCTTAGACACGATACAACAACACCAACTGGGCTGTTACTGAGATTTTATTGATAGAAAAACTCAATAACTACAATTGGCCTGACTCAGGACTCGAACTCAGGACTCGAACCCAGGACGCCACCACCAGAGATACATAAAAAATTGAACAAATCTGGATTTGTTCTATTTCTCTTCATACATCCCCCTGACTCTGTTTTTAGCATTTTTTTATGTACAGACATTCGACCTCTACAGGTTTATTATATATTAAAATAAATGTAGTTAATAATAGCCCTTGATATATAAACAAGAAACAAATAAGAGGTCTTATTGAATTACCTTTACTGTTCACAAAGAATTTCTTTGATAATTGCACAACGTAATCTTAATAGAAAGTTCTATGAAATGAACGCTGGATATTCTAAAAGGCGAAACAGTTTTGTGGTGTTTATTTGTAATTAGCAAAATAATTTTCTTTTGACCTATAGAATAACTTGTATTAATAAAGGTAACTTCATAAAGGTATTCTACACATTGATTCATTCGCTTTCAGCGAGCTTAGACAAAAATGACTACGTGTAACCTTTACGCGTGGTTCAAGTAAAACTTCTTTGGCGCTGAAGCAGATACCGCAGTTAAATTAAAATAAATTAAAAATAAATATAATATTTTTAATTAAGGTAATAGCAATAAAAATATTCATTTTTATAAATAATAATTATTTTAAAAATAATCTATTTTTTAAAATTATTAATAATAAGTTTGACTCACACTTCGGCGATACTTATTTTTCCAATGGCAATTTGCATTACCTCTCGGTCACGCCTAAAAAAGTTTTACTTCAAAAATAATTTCTACATTTTCTACAATAACACTACTATTATAAAAGCGAAGGTTTGTATATTTATACAAATACATATTATAAAACAAAGTCGCTGCCTGTCTCTGATTCTCCGCACACATCCGACGTGTGGTGTAGAACCAAATAACGGATTTTGATACGGTTTTCATTAATAGAAAGACCGATAAATGAGGAAGGTGTGTGTGCATAATTTGTTAATATTTTGCACAAAATAGATGAACTAGACGATATTTTGTCAAAAAATCTGTTTTCGTACGCTTACACGGCTAACACTGCCTTAAAGAGATACAATAAAACAATATACTTGAAACTTATAGTTGTTACATAGAATTTCGTGATGGCATGTATATACCTTCTAAGCGAACGTCGACCGAAGTGTGGATAAATCGCTAGTATTATAGAACACAAAGCTGTAATTATATACAGTACCTGGGCTACCGAGCTTCGCTCGGAGTTTTTGGCCTACGGTACATTTAAAAAAAAAACTAAAAACTTGAATAAATATTAAAAAAAAACAAAAGTAAAAACTTTGTATGTGACCGAGATTCAAACTTGGATACCTGTGATTGTTGATCTTGCACCTTGGCCGCTTGACCACGATGCTTATGGCCGAGCGTGCAAATTACTAACCATATTTTGCGTGGAATAATGCAAAAGAAAACCGCATGAACACTTGAAAACGCGCTTTTTCTCAGACATAAGACTGATCTAGATTGATTTATCGCCACCGAAACCCTCTGTATACTAAATTTCATGAAAATCGTTGGAGCTGTTTCCGAGATTCAGATTATATATATATATAAGAATTGCTCGTTTAAAGATATAAGATAAGATGTGTGTTGTACTAGCCTCTTAGTACACATTTGTTTGAAAAGATCATTAAAACCTTATTTATCTAAAGGCGATCTTTTAATTTCAATAATATCGATATTAACTTGCAACTTCATGGAACAAAATTTCGTTTTGCACAAAAGAACGTCTTCATAACGCTCTTTTCAAGAAAGTCTATGAGTAAAGACCTCAATTACTTCTTGCAACGTTTAACCAAACGAAGCTATATCACACACGAGCTTAAGATACTAATCTTGTTTAAACAACACTGTTGTGGGATTAAGCACGTTTTCTTTAGCCACAACAGATGGTATTCTCTTTGAAAAGCTTTTCCTTTGATAGCTAAAGTGTTATACACATTTCTCCTGGTGAAAGCTTAACAGTACGTAGTACTCGTACTAATTAACATTATTGAGTATTGACGAATTTATAAGTGTTTTTACTAGTTTTTGTTCACAACGCTTCTGCTTTTAATAGAATGTAGATACGTTCCTATAAATAAGTTGTTATAAAAGTTTATTTATTTATCTAGATTATAAACTATCTCTATGCGGATTTAAACTGAAATAACGATGATGGACAAACACACATATACTCTAACAAATTTCATTTAGTATTTATAACTAGCGCCTTATTCTCACGTTGCTTGGATGTATCCTCGTATTCTCTGTCTTACTCAAAATCTTAAGTCTGATAGTGGTATGATATTAGTGAGGTACCTACTTCAATAGAGTCAGTCAAAAGTTTGTGCAGCGGCAAACGTATGTACGAGTATATATGTACATAATATGTATGTATATGAAAATATGTATATTGTATAGCTCTCTGTTCTAATTAACAATAATGGAATAATATAGCGAGAGTATTATAATTCCACAAAAAACATTTTCATATAAAATGTTGCCAAGACGAGACCATATGGCTCGCACTGTAAAAAAATTATCAGATCTCATGTGGACCCAAGCTTCTCACTTTACGCGCCCTAACTTCAAAAACTCTACACCTAGTCAAAATATGTGGCTTGGCCGTATCGTACTACAAGAACAATTGTATAATAGAAAAGTTAAGAAAAGTGAATATTTTTTTTATCTTACGCCCATGTGACGGTCCTTGCACTTGGCCTGGCTCGTCTTGGCGATATGTATATATAAATAGGCAAAGAAAAACAGTCCAGTACGGTTTTATCTTCTGTTTGTCAACCCATTTTTTTTGTTGAGTAGCTATTAACGAGCTTTAGTGTTATCATTTTGGCTACTGGACGAACGGTAATTATATTAAAAATACCTGTCCATCTTTATTGGAGTCAGCCCTCTTCCTCAGACCATCCCAAATCTTGATCATGACCTCGCGTGTCTCCGTGTTTTTTGTGTCGCCCGGCTTCCAACCGCGAAGATGGCAGATTTTCTGAATTCACAATAATACATAGTTATAAATATATAGTTTTTTCTATGACTAATTAATTATTTATTATCAATAAAATATTACGAAAGTAAAACCTTAAATTAAAAAAAATATGTAATTTCTAAAAAAAACTTGCATACCTACATTTGATACAATTTTATTTATTCTTCCAAGAAGAGATATGGTATTTGGGATATGCATGGATAATAATTGTAATAGCTTACAAATATATATGTGAAATGCAATCATTTGTCTGGTTCAGATATTTACCGCTTACTCTTAGGCGTAATAAGCTTTGCTGGCATAGTGCCATTACACTGCGCTCTTTAAAATGTTTTTTTTTTATTTCTCCAACTACCCATAAAAATTTAAAACGTTCCACATAAGCTACTCGACTAATTAGCATTCCTTACTAACAATTAAAGCACAGTGATCAATTGTCTAGAACTTTAAAACTAATTTCCTACCGGAAGAAGTTGACTCACAGAACTTTCGAAATACTTTAGGAAATGACCCATCTGCAAATTTAGTTTAAAAACATACTAATATGTATGTATATAAGTATTCGTGGGGAGGGCAAGCAGTCCTATTGTATATATAGTATTGAAATTACTTGATTACTAAATTTAATTTTAGTTATAACCGATACCATTTTTATTGATTATATTAATTCATTAGTAATATCTAATAAATAATAAAATTAGAAAGCTGTACATAAATAATTAAAATATATGTACATGTACAATAAATAAATACAGTTATAACAAATTTTTTAATAATCCTACCTCAATTGCTAGCTCGAAGTCTTTCCTCTCGATGGTGCCACTTTGATTGACATCTGGAACAAAATTTTTGAGAATAAACATAAAAGAGTCGTAAAAACTTCAAAGTAAAAAATAAAAATGGCGCATTACCAAAGAAAACGTTGAAGACGTACAGGAGCTTCTTCCTTCTGAACGCTGAGATAGACATTTTATCTGCAACAAAAGAAATACAATTAGACCAATTTGTAATTTTAAAGGTATTTATTTATTATGTTGGAACATTTTTACGCTTTCTTAACTTGAGCGCCTTAGAAATTCTATTAGAATTTGTGAACCGTTTCCGCTTAGTAGATGCCTTTTGTTAAAAAAATGTTTCATTTAAATTAATAGTCCTTTAAGGAAAGTAAAATAACATTCAGTAAAAACAATTTAAAACTCAAGAAAAATAGTTTTTCTTATGATATTAATTAATTAGATCAGATCGAATCTGGAAATTGAATCTGACTGAAATTTGTTATTACATAATAGATTTACGCGATTACGCAATTATTAAATATATTATATAATTCATATTAATTAAATTATAATCATTTTATATAAATCGTTATTTTATTTCACCTTTTTCGGATGCTTTAACATCAAAAATGGTCACCGGAAAGACTAAGGTTGTTATAATTTAAAAGAAAAGAGAAATAGCACTGAAGTCGCTTACAATACAAAAGAATATACCTATATAAATAATTCTAATCGACGCGAAGTTCCTATAATTATAAAATGTTAGTATATTTAATTAAAACCTTAAAAAGTTTTAAAAAAAATTCCTCGGGAAGAAAAAAGTAAAATAAATCCGTGAAAAAAAAAAGTTTTATTTATAACGTTTGTTTCGTTTTGATAATAATTGAACAAAAAAATCTTATCATACGTCTGTTATTTACTAATTACAGAACACTCAAAAGATGTACCAAATTAATATATACTATTCTCCGTTAGTTACACTCATTTATATGAGGTACATACATACAATACGTTATCTATACTATAATAAAACTGTAGAAGTCGAATATCATACAATACAAGTCGTACATAATACATACAGAAAAAAATGCTAAAAACCAAGTCAGGGGGATGTAAGAAGACAAATAGAACAAATTTAGATTTTTTTCAATTTTTTTGTTTCTCTGTCTGTTTGTCTGTTTGTACGGGCTAATCTCCGAATCTATTGGACCGATTTAAATGAAATTTTGCATGGTGGTACCTTATATCCCCGGGCAACATTTTAGATACTTTTCATCCCGGAAAATTAAAGAGCTCCCGTGGGATGGTTAAAAAACTATAGTAACTTATTACAACTTAGTACACAACAACTTATGCATCTAATTTAGTAAAATTGGGCATACTGATGCCTCCTTATATTACCGGTCAAACAGCAGGTTACTTTTCATCCCAGAAAAATGAACGGTTCCCGGGGGATAGATCTGTTTGTGCTTTTGTTGAGGCGAAATCGAGCGAAGCGAGGGTGAACCGCTAGTTCTTAATAACTAAGTTAGCCAAGTAGCTTCCACAAATAATGTAATAACAGTGTAATTTTGTAACACTTGAGTACAAATTAGACTAACCACAACTCAAGAGAAGGAAATCAAATTAAAACCAAATTAGGTTTGTGATATTTTGCTCTTGTAAAAAATTATTTTCAGAATTTCTAAAGTTGAATCAAAGTAGCGATACCTTTACTTTAGTAACAAATTAAATGCATGTTTATCTATAGATACACGTCCTTGTGCACTTTTATTTTTTAACCCCTGACGCAAAAAGAGGGGTCTTATAAATTTAACATAGATTTCTGCCTGTGTGTGTGTGTGTCTGTCTGTGGCATCGTAGCTCTCAAACGGATGGATCGATTTCCATGCGGTTTTTTTTCATTTGAAAGCCGGTTTCCTTGCGGTGGTTCTTAGCTATGTTTGGTTAATACTGGTCCAGCAGTTTAAGAGTATAAGCTCTTTTCCAAAATGATGTAAGACATTTTGGCGTATGATTACTCGATGAATGGCATTTTTAAAAATCTGTGTGATTGAGTATGCGTGATATGATATTTTAAGAATAAAAGGAGACGTATGATATAATTTTAAGAATGGAATGAAATGAAAAAGATGAATAAAAGAAAAGATGTTGTGATAATGGCAACACGATGATAAGCTTGAAAATTGGTCATATGTAATTTAAAATATAACTAGCAGAACCCGCGGCTTCGCTCGCGCTAAAACTAAAAAAACTCTAAAAAAGTAGTTTCATACAAACTTTCATCCACTATTTTATCCCCTTATAGGATGAATTTCGAAAAATGCTTAAACACGTATTTATTTCATTTTATTAAAAAGTATTAATACCAAGTTTCAAGTAATTCTGATCATAAATATTTTTTTGGATTGTATTATAACGTGTTTTCCTGTAGGAATTACATAATCTCTCGCAGTAAAAAATAGCATATGTCACTCTCGAGCCCTCCAACTATCTCCAGACAAAAAATCACGCCAATCCGTCAATCCGTTTCGACGGGAAAGAAGGACAAGCAAACAAACAAACAAACAAACAAACACACAAACAAACAAACAAACATACTTTCACATTTATAATATTAGTATGGTTATAATATAGTCGGTGAGCTATCAAGTGCTTTTATCTGCATTCTTTGATCCTACATCTATATACATATCGCATGAGTTATTTGTATATATTTTGTGGCTCAGATAACAAAACATATTTTTTTAATTCATATTATGTATGCAATCGTTTTGCATAAATAAAAAAAATATAATTAATATATGAAATAAAATTTATCTGTTGTTGTTTATAAAACTTTTTGTATATCAAGAAATAATTAAGGAGTTACTAAGTCAAAATATTAAAATAGGCGACGCTTTAGAAAGATAATTAAACTAAAAGATTCCGATACCCATCTTAGGGTCGAGTTTTAATTAAAATTTATTAAAAAGTAAGTTAAACGTTTAAATATAAACAGTAGATCTATTTAATAATAGATCACAGTTTCTTCTTTCCTGGAATACGTGTCGAATTTTCTTGAAAGTTGAAGAGAATTTTTATTTTTCTTTAGATGTTTATTTTACTTGCTGTACCAGCGGTCGCGAGTTCGAGTCCCGCTGGGGGCATTCATTTGTGTGATAAACACTAATGTTTGTACTCCACTCATGGATGCTCATATTTATAATATGTATGTGCCTATGTGTAGTGTATAAACTATCTGGTATCCATAACACAAGCCTCGTAGCTTACCATGGAACTAGATAGTGCTGTGTGTTAATGTCCCAACATATTTATATATTTATATTTGCTTCTATTATTTATACTTGCTTACTTGTACAATGTTCATATATCTGTCTTCCCATTCAAACTTAAAGGTAAGGTTTCGACAAGGCCTCATTTCCGTCCCCAAATAACGATAAAATTTAAGTTTTATACATACTATTTGTGAGACAATGCAATAAAATAGTACCATGAATACTAATAATAGTCTAACACTAGATAGAGTCAATTCTCAATTATTAAAAATAAAGCCGTCGTTATTGGAACTAATACTTTACTAATTTTAATTAACAGTAGATACACTGTAGATTTAAGTGGTGTCTACGGTCTGTTATTGAAGCCAAATAATTCCCTCATTTTTCATTTTTATCCATACTATATACTATAATCTATACTAATATTTTAAAGAAGAAACATTTTTTGTTTGTTTGTTTGTTTAAACCGAATTAGCTCCGAAACTACTGGATCGATTTTAACCATTTTTCACCAAAAATTATCGGGAAGGAACATAGGGGATAATTTATTTTCAAAATATTAGAGATCTTTGAGAAAATTGCAATCATGTAACCTAAAGTAGCAAACTTTGTCTATAAAATGAATTATTTGGCGTATGATACATAAAACGAAAGAGTTTTTTTTGTAGATTGAACGCGGGCGAAGCCGCGGGTTCTACTAATATACTATATATCGTCTCGAATTAGATATTCCTAGTCCAATGTGCCTAAGAAACGACTTGATTTACGAGGAAAAAAAGTATGGCGCTTACATTACCAGACCATAAACTTTCTCCATAAAAACTCAGGTGGATTCATGGCTCTGTTATTTCGAGGGAGAAGGAAAAGCCAATAAGGCTTGTAAGCATTACCTTCGTAATACAAGCCTATTGTTCTCTTTCCTTCTATATTCGGTCAGGATGATTGATGATTTCAATAAATCCCTCGGTTACGCCTTTACATGCACAAAAAGTTAATTAAACACCAGCTGTGAACATAATAGCTAGATTTTTGTTTCTTTTTTCAACCCGGGATAGGAAAACCATTTAGAAATACACCCATATAATGTATGTATAATATGTTATTTTATGTACTAATAATATAAATTGGATGGTTTGAGTACTAGTAGTATTAATTACTGTAAGCGAGAGAATTTGTTTGTTACTTCTAAAACAGAAACAAATCAACAGGTTTCAAAGAAATTCGGAATGGAAATATTTTATATATTTGCCTAGCTTATAGAATTTTATTTACTACTAGCGTTGCCAGCGGCTCCGCCCGCGTTCAGATGACCAAAAACCAAATTCTTAGGTTTTACATATTAGTATACTCTTACATTGCAGTTTTTATTATTTTTTCTCAAAAATAAGACATTTTCCCGCGGTAAAAAGTATCTTATATGTTGACCCGGATAAGCAGCTATCATCATACCAAATTTCATCAAAATCCCTCCCGTGGTTTTTCTGTGATGCGGTAACAGACAGACAGACAGACAAAAATACAGACAGACAGACAAAAATTCTAAAATCTATACATTCGGCCTCTGTATCGATAATAATGTTTATTTCAATAAGATTTTCCCAAAAGTATTTAATTTACAGATTCGGCTTAGTTAGTATTTTATATGTATAGAATACATAATATAGAGAGACACATGCAAAAGCTAACTTATAATACGAGTATCAACAGACTATTTCTGATTTCATTATAACAATCAAAAACAATCTCTGAGTAAATACCCACATCAATCTAATAAAATCGAACATATTTGATTAATTTTATAGTTAGTGTTATATTGCAGTTTGAAAACAATGTTGTTAAAGCGATTGATGATGTGGTCAAGAGGTAATTTACCGTATCCCAAAACTAATTCCAATACAGCGTCTAAGGGAGTTCGGAACA